GACATTTCTATTGCCAGGTGATATGTACTGTACCTGAGGAGAACTAGGAGTGGGCGGTATGATGATAGGTAGTACTTAAAGAACACCGACTACACATTTCATTATAAAATGAGCATAATTAGGGCGGTATAACTGGATTTAGTGCAACATAGTTTGGAAACCATTGAATAAAAATCATTGTAGTAGTAGATTTATTATTATTACTGTTATTATTATTATTGTATTTTTTAAAATGTGGCACTACAGGGTACAGATAGTTCTGATTCATGACTGTTTTGTCTGTTCCAACTTATTACATCTCAGAAAAACTAAATTTATGATGCCTATTGTGTTTCATGAAAATGTCTTGAAGTAAGTATTTTTGCTATTACAAGGTACTGGTAGTTCTGGGTTTGGATTAGTAAATGTGCAATGGCATACTTCACATTCTTGATGAATATAAGCAATGTATAGATTGAATCTGTACATTACTTGAACATTACATTGTACATTACATTACTTGAATGGCAGCTAAATGAATTGACTGATTCCTGTTGAGCTGAGGCCTAGATGAATTAATTGATTTTTAATAAACTGAAGTTTACATACACTACATCTGTGCAGAACATGCACAGAGGCTAGATTGATTTTTGATTGAGTAATGCATAGTCTTGAGTCTTGAACATGAATGAAGTAATTCTTTCTTCATGAACTAAAGTTACGTATAAATTGAATTTTATATGTACACACAGATCTTAGATTAATTGATTGATTCTTGATAAACTAAAGTACATCTGTACATTACTCGAACATATTTACAGAGTGCTGGAGCCCCCCCTCTCCCCCTTGACCCAGTACCATGCTCTCTTATTCCCAGACATGCTTTGCCCTTCATCCATGGCTGACTAGCACCCACCCCCACACCCTCCTGTCTTCCACAGCATGGCAGTGACATGACACACACGTGCGCAGCCCAGGACAGACCAGAGGTGACCTCCATAATTGGCTGGGCACTTGTTCAACACATATAAAAGGACTGTAACCAGATTTCACGCGTGAAGAGTGCTCGGTCACAGCACGGTTTCTTTCATCTGCTGCTCCAAAGGTCACTCTCAGACCATTCTCCACAGAGCAGAGGCTCAGGGCATGGTGGGAAGATAAAAGATGTGTGGACTCATTGATCTTAAGCTACTTATGTCCCTCCTGACGGAGGACTGGTGAATAGGATCAGACTGTGCCATTCATACAGTTTGCTGGCAGAGTTTAAACGGAAGCAGTAGAACATCAATAAAACTGATGACTTTTATGTAATTTGGCTTTACCTTGTTTTTTTCTCTCCTTCTTTTTATCGTTTCTAAATACACCCCTGTCATGACTGTGTCTTTACACTGTATAATATTGATATCATATCATGTTTGTTACAGCAAAGTGATACGTCTCCTCCACAGTGTTCAAATATGAATGGAGCTATTATTGTGCTAGATGAAGGCATCAGGTTTGACGTGGAGTTGACATGCATCCTCTGCTTTTAAACGGCATGTAACTCTGCTTAAATTGCGTTGTGTGACAGGCACCCTGTGATCTGCTCACTCAGAGCAAATCCAAATCAGGAGGGAATAGCCAGTGGTTTCCCTTGACGTTCAAACCTCACTGTTGAGAGGCCTCAAAATCGCTTTCATTTCAGTCATTTTGTGGCTGTCAGAAATATGAAAGCATGACACAAATATAAAGGCATGACATTTCATTTTACCCCCTCTTCCAGTGTGAAGACTGGGGGATTCATTTGTGCACTGACATTCTGGTGGGATGAAGCCATACTCTAAAAAACTGAGGTGTCAAAAAGTGTTCTTTGGAGTAATGCCATAGGAAAACAACATTCATTTCTTTAAAGAACAACTTTAGTAAATGAGACGTGAGTATACAGAACCTTTTCTCGAGTTTAACCTTCTGGGGTCCAAGGGCATATTTTGCCTATCCTCTTAAATTCACCTTCAACCCCTTAAACTTAAAGTATATTATGTACTAAGGCTTATTATTCAGTAACTACAGGGACTTCAGTGCAAAGTGGTTGAGCTATTCTTAGGTTATAAAAGTGTGTAATAAAACTTTGGGCCTGTCGGCGGGCCCTGGCCATTTAAGGGGTTAAAGGTGCTTGCACATAACATGATACCCATATGTTTCATATCATATCTCTTATCTTTATCGCTACTTTCCAAAACCGCTGCAGCGACTTCAGAGGCTGTAAAGTCTTTGCACAGCAATTAAGATGTGTCTCCAATGTGGACTGAATAAAGAATGAAGGGTTCCTGAAGTGATGTTTAAGATCCTTAGTGGTTTCCTGAGTGTCCATTGGTCAGTTTGGCACAAAATGTAGATGGACACATGAATCCACCAATTGCAGGCAGTGAGCAAGATTACATGCATCTCAACCTCTCTTTTTAAACTCATAACTGCGGATATGAATCATGTATGATTTCATGATGAGATGAATCGGAAAGGGTGACTCTATAGATTCAGGAAATGTTTGAAACATATTTTTGTGCTGTATTATTACATCATCTAAACCGCTTATCCTTTTGGGTCGCGGTGAGAAAAATATATAGAAACATTGAATTTGATGCACTGGCGAGTTAACAGACCCTAGTGAGTTAAAGAACCCCCACAAAAATGTAAACGTTCTACATCAATTAAAGCTTTTTCATCTCTTAAAAATGAAGGTGCCAAAAAGGCGCGATACCATGGATGAACCACTTTTGGTTCCCTAAAGAACCTTTCAATGGATGGTCGAGGGAAAAAACTTCTTTTGATGTAAAGATTCTGAAGAACCCTAATGTTGATATAGAACCTTTACCTTATGTGAAGGTTCCTGAAACCTTTAAGGGTTCATCACACCAACATGCCTTTTTTAAAACATGGTTCTTCAGTGGTACGTCTCAAATAACACAGAAGAATGGAAAATGAAGAGTGTAGAACCATACTTCCAAGTCAAGAACCATTTAGGAACCTTTATTTTGATAAGCATACCTTAACCATAGTTTCATGTAAAGGGGTAAAAAAGAGAAAAATCTAGCCAATAACCCCCACACGGTCTGGTTGCTAGACGAGACCATCACCATAGCAACAGCTTGGAATGTACGAGCACCAGGGATTCTTTAGTCTTGCTATTTTCCCAGGTAGATAAATTGAGCTCTGCCACCCTTGCTCCCCCCCCTTCTCTTTCCTTGCTTTTTTCCTCCCTGACTCTCTCTCTCTCTTTATTCACACCCACCTCTCACCCCATTCCGTCTCTGCCCCCCCTCCAGTCTTGCTCATTTGAATGCATATATAGCATCTCCCCCAGGAGTTTGCTTGGATTACATTGCTCTGGATATCATAAAGGAGATGTTTCTGTGGCGAGGCTCGGGCCGGTGTGTGCATTCCCATTTGTCATAATTCTCAAAGCTGTTCAAATACACAAGCCTCTTCCAGAATATGACAGCTGCAGAAGGAAGCTTTTGCATTCTGGTCAAATCCAGATCTGTAAATACAAACTGGTGCAAATCTTCACTGAAGCGAGCAGAGTGCACTTCACAAAGTCTGAATTATGAAGAATTTTCCTTAATGTTTTTCCCCTGTGTGATGAACATCAGCCTACGGAGATATTGCTGCTCTACAAGTATGTCTTTTGCCCTCAACCGCAGTAATTCTGGCTTGATATCTTTGAGGTCTTTTCAAAGGTTCTAGGGTTAATCTGGAGGCTGACCTTCTTCTAGCTTTGTCGAGGGAATCACAGGAGCTGCTTAAGCTCCAGGAAACATTGCTAAATTATAAACTCCCACGAACCAAATGCGGCTTAGGAAGTTAGTCATTTTACGTTTTTTTTCTATGATCTTTTGTTTGTTTGTTGTCTGTTTTATATTTGCATAGTGCATAATTTCTGTGTTGCTCCACTTAATAAGAATGATTTTTGCCTGCAGAAGCAGGAGAATCACAGGGAGAAGATAAGTGATAGTCATTAAGAATGGCTGGCGCTGGACTCAATCCAGTTTGAGTAGGCTTAATGAAGACGTTTTTAATGAAGAGACATCCTTCTTGCATGAAGCAGGCCTTCTCCGGTTTTGGAATTCAGATATTATCAGAGCTCTTTTTTACTGATATATTTTGACAGATAAGACAGTGATAGATAATGATCATTCTTTTGAAATATGACCGAAACATCAATGACTCAGCCACTCTGCATGATTTGTGACATTATCTGCACTTATTTGCGTCATACCTAGATGTTATGACAACAGTCATACCGTAGGAAGATTTTCAACCCACTTTTCGAAATTCTAATATGACAGAAGGCTACCATATGCAAATAAGCCTTCTAACCAATCACCATGTTTTAACTGTGTGCTGTGAGCATCCTCACCAATCATAGTTCCAGGGAAATGCCTTTGAGGATGTTTAGATGAATCAAGGTACAACAATGGTAACTTATTTTGGTCAATGGTAATTTATTTTGGTCAAAATAATACGTCAATCAAGAAATAGTACAATCACAATATGTAGCAACAGAGTCACAGGACCAGTATTTGGTCCATACTGTGCAAACTGAGAGCATATAATCTAAGTCTCATCTTGCTTGCAGTTTAAATGATGTGAAGCTTTGTGGGCTGTGAGGCCCTGTTTAATATAATGACTTCATTCTCTGCTTCCCTATATGACTCGCGGGTTGGTTGTAATGTTCAATTAGACAGAACAGAACTCAACCATTGTTGGCTTTACCCCTAAAGCACAGCGCGTTCAGGTGCCTGTACTCATTGTAGCCTTGTGTGTGTATGTTTGTGCTGTCGTTTACTGCTGGCCTGTTATCTCTGTGGAGTTCTGGATATTGCTTACCAGCTACAAAATTCATACTCCTCAGCATCAACCTCTGCTTCTAATGAATAATGTCCTCCTGGATCTATATCTAACCTGAGTCTCTCTCCATCTCCCTCTCCCTCTCTCTCTCTCTCTCTCTCTCTCTCTCTCTCTCCCTCTCTCTCTCTCTGCAGGTGGTAAAGCACCACTTTAAGCGCGGAATCCGTCTGGAAGCGTGCCACACCTGTACAATCCGTTCAGCAGACTAATCTGAACAGAACGAGGGAAAAGAGACATAAGAAAAGAGGGAAAAGAGGAAAACGAGAGTGGATTGGTCCCACTTTCTTCAGTCTGCTGACAGAAGAGACAGAGTGAGAGAGCAGTGGAGCCAGAGAAGCGATGTGACAGCCGGTCTATTCCAGCAGAAAGCCAGCTATGATGGACATCAGGATCAGCAGGCACTAAATCTCCACTCTATCAAGGTACAGTCATGCACCATAGAAAAGTCATGAGAATGGTTATGGGAAGCGAATATGAGTTAGATTTTTTTTTTTTACTTTAGCATGTTTTTTGCCATAGCTTAGTGACCAACTACAGCAGTTCCTCATGCACAGACACATGCAGACTTTCACACACAGAGACTTAAACAGGGAACTTGAAGTGATGTGAAAGATGCATCAATTAGCACTTCTGCAGACTGTGAAAGAACTTTCACCAGCTCAGCACTGCAAAGATTCATTTCTGCTCGAGTTGAAACATTTGCAGTGCACGTTAAACCATTCAGATAATTACAAACATGACACCTTGGACTGTTAGCTGTTGATATGCACAGTACATGGCTACAGTCGATGGTGTAATGCATTACATGTTATGTTCTGAAGTAATTTCAGCCTCAAGCGCTCTGCCCACATGGTTGCACAGACTGTCTGTTGTGTATTATATGCTAAGATGGCCACAGCTTTCATGATGTTGTCAGTTTCACACTCCACACTTCTGTGTGTACATACGTCCCTGTGCTGGTTTTTAACAGGTTTACAGGAAACAAACTTCTCTCAAGTTAAGTGCTCGCTGTTCACCAGTAGTATGCTGTTTCCACCTCTGCACAGTGACAGCAATGAAGTCAAGGTTGTGAAGTTCATGGCATCTCATTTTTAGTTTTACTATCTAGGTTTCCGCCGTCACACAATGCTACCCAGCTGGGAGGGTAAAAGGTGAAGGCTGGCGCGTGCTTCTCCCAAGAGTACATGAAGCAAAACCACATCTTTTGAAAGCCACTAAAGCATCAGCATTGGACAGCATTGCGGTGAAGTAGAAGGCTAACTGCCAGTTGCACACCTGCATTGACTAGCATTGCGGTGAGTGAGGGGGTGGAGGCAGAGCCATCATACCCACTCAGAGAGAGACCATTTATCCTGTCTTGGTCTCAAGCCTCAGATGGCTGTGGCACTGAAGGGGAATCAAACAAGTTTGAATATTATTTGATTTCCAGTGATGCTACCCGACAATAGACAGTTAGACAGAGTTCCATGTGGGTCTGTTTTTGTTGTAGCCCTGTTTTGATGATTGCCAACCCCAAGATGTGATGCACAAACAAGGTTCTGTGGTTTGTTGTTTTGCAGGTCAGGCTTATCCCCCTTCCTGTCAAGGTATGTGGTTCTTGGCCACATTTTGAGTGCCAGAACTACCAGACTTTTTGGTAGGGCTGAACAATAACACTGAATTTTTCTTCAGTTTAATTTTGGATAATACCACCCTGCTGAAAACATCCACAGAAACCATTAAGTGTTTATGTTGGTGGTTTTGTAATGTGGTTTGGCTTTTTAAAGGGTTCATATCACAGTGTAAATATCTTAATAGTTTAACAGGTGACCAGTAGCTGATTTTCAATGCATCTGATGGTTTCCTAATGGGATCTGAAGGAAATCAGTGGTCTGGAAAGTAAAATCATTGGGTTTTAATCCTAATGGTTTCTAATGATCCGTTTTCAGGAGGGCAGGGCTAGTATCCTGTTGCCAGTACTGATACTGATACTTTTAGAAGTCTTTTGTGTTAATTCTAAAGCAAATTTCTGATTTATAAAGTGAAAAAAGAGGAAGTGGTAACTTTACTATTACCTGTTTCAGGACTTTTCTATGTGCAGATTGATTCTTGAAAGAAAACATCAAGGTTGAATGTATTGATACTTGGTATTGATCCACCCGTATCTAATTACTGGCCATAACCAGAAGTCTGGCTTACAGGACCAAAGCCTTATTGACCCTTAGGGAGTGTGTACTGGTAGTATTTTTTTTACACAGCTGAGTTGGCCCCTTTGCTAGGTGTCTCTCTATGACCACTTTAAAAGCACCAAAGGCAGCATTACACAGGCCATTTGAATGGGCTCCCACAGGGATTCCAGGCTGCTTGTCACAGCAATCCCCTACATCAATTAAAGCCAGTCAGGCAGAAACACACCTTACTGTCTGTTTGATTTGTTTTCTTGTTTGTTTATTAATTTATATTTCTGTCACCCCATGGTTCCTGCCAGGGCTTGTTGCCTTCTGTGAATTGTGCATTTATTCATGCTGGCTTTTAGTTTGTGACTCACTCTCTGGCTCTCCGTTAGAGATATTGAGGTGGTTTTGCTCAGGGCTTCTAAGGGTTTTTAAATAAAGCTATTGTTCTAGTTATTGCTCCTCTTATAATGCATGGCTCTTTGGTGAAAGAGGATGTAGGACACTGAGGATGCAGCCCAGAACAAAACATTGTTTTGGGATGGAGGTGTGAGCTTGTTATTGTCAACACTGTTACTTTTATGATGCTGTATTATTAGGAAAAGAGTGTGCTGAGGATGAAGCTTGGTGGAAATATTTTAGTCCTTTAAATATACAATATGTGGGTGTGTAAGGTTGAGGTTGGAAGGGACCTGTGTGTGTGTGTGTGTGTGTGTAAATGTCTGTTTGGACGTTTTCCCTAGAGAGAAAAAAGAGGATCCACAGTGCTGAAAAAAGACCAATGTCTGTGTGTCTGTCAATCTGTCTGACATTCTAGCACAGCTACAAAGAAAAAAGTGAGCTTCAGTTATTTCTTAGGTAGTGAAAGAGGTGTGTGTGTGTGTGTGTGTGTGTGTGTGTGTGTGTGTGTGTGTTTGTGATTTTCCTGTCAGAGTGAAACAGGAAGACCGGCAACTCAGGAAAGGAAGCTGCCTCTATCAAACACCAGATGGAGGACAGCATGTGCTTACACTGCAGAAAAAACACACACACACACACATTTATGTGACCCAAATTGCTCACTCCAAAATTCTAAGCAGAATGAAACAGTGATATGGACTATGTGATGAAAACACTGAAGCAAGAGGCAAGGTGCCCCTCCCCCTCTCGACTTATCATTTCCTTGCCTATAAAAGTGTTCTTTCATAAGAGCTGTTAACAAGTTGGACCAGCTTCACAGAATATTGGCAAAAATCCAATTTAACCTAATGAGAAATTGTAGGGCCGAACTCAGTTTTGTCAAAATGCCTACATTTAGTGCGCAGTATTAATTCATTGTTAAAAGTCACACTCCTTATCATATAGAACTGTGCCCTTCATTTTTGTTATCTCCAGTCAAATAAACATTAAATCGCTGTTGTCGGAATGAATCTTTATATCTCCATTTTTGGCATTTTTCAGTTTTTGGCATAATTTGAAAATGTCTGTTGCCCTTTACATTGTGGGTGAAGTTTATGACGAATGGACCAAAAGAAACGGCCCAAAATTATTTTAAAAAGTCTGTTTCCATTCACTTTCATTAAAAGTAAAGTGTGTTTTTTTCCTTCTTCTGTAAAGTTTCCATTTTATAGTTACAAGGTTTTGCTCTGACAGCAGGGAAATACAAATTTTTCATTTTCAGCAGATAGTTCTAAGCAGATCTGATTTAATATAATGCACTTCCATGAGAAAGGGGGGAGGTCAAAGAGAAATAAGTTTCCAAAACTGGAGTTCAAATGGGTGAAAATGGGACTCCAAAGAACCGTATAAGGCCTGCTAAACCACCAACATTGTAAACAGCACTTAAAGCCTTCATCTTTGAGAGAGAGGAGAAAATCAAGCTCCACTCTTGCTTCAGACCTGGAAAAATCCACAGGTGTTTCTGTCCGTCCTTCCACTGTGAGAAAACAACTCAGTGTTATGGGTCTGAAAGGATGTGTAGCTGTCAAGAAGCTGTTACTGAGAAAAGGAAATGAATAAGGAATAATATCTCCAAATGTAATAAAGAAGCTGCTGATGTTTTCAGAATGATAGACTGACCACCTCTAGACCTTAACATCACTGAATGTGCTTGAAGGAAGCAATGTAAGAAATGTAAGAAGCAGAAAACAGAACCAACTTCTAAGACTGAACTTTAAACAAAACGGATTGAAGCTTCTGTGTATGTTTCTGTTCAATATATATTTTTATGATTCTTTCAGATGCTGAATAAAAAACCTTATGCCTGTTTTGACTGTTAATTAAATAAATGAAGGGTAGGTTTGACTTTTTCACAGTACTGTGTGTTGGTTTTTAATGATATAATTGAGGTAACATTAGCATGGTTGCAAATTCCCAGTGGTCTTTTCCAGTCTGCCTAGTTTGGTTGCAGTAATATATTCCAGCTCTGTAGTATAGCATTTTAACCTGGAAACTCACAGTTATGTAGCTCTAAACAAAGATCGCTACAATTTCTCATTACAGTAGATATAATTTTATCCAACGTTCTGTAAAGCTTGTCTAATCTTGTATTGTTAGCTATGAAAGAATGCATATTGGTGTGAACATTGGAAAGGTCAGTTAAAGTGACCATTCCGCCTCTTCAGATAAGTCATGGACAAATGTAGTACAGCATGTGTAATTGAATGAGTGAAAGTGATGATTGAGATGAGGGAGTGTTCCCTGCTGCCTCCTTCATTCTGCACTTGCTTTTTACTCAGTTCAGCTCAAATCAGACCAATCAGTGATGTGATAGCTCTCCACGGGTAACCAGCATGGATTTCATGTCACGTTAATGAAATGCCAGCACGCTTACACACACACACACTCACACACGCGCACACACACACACACACACATACACAGGCACATTATAACCATCGTGGCTGCAGCACTAGCTGTGTCTCCTGGTCCATGTCGCAGCCTTGAGCATTTCATTATCTCACATCTCTCCTCAGATTTTCCTCTGGTTGCGTTGTGATAGAAAGCCTTAGACAGACATGATTTTATGCCAGTCAATAGCCTGCATTTCTCCCACCAGACCAAAATTGATATTCGACACAAAAAAAAAGGAACAAACCTGAAGGTCAGTTTCAAGAAGCACTCCAGTACTACTGGAGATCTACTAGATTATAGCTCGGTTCTTGAAAGAAACATTGAAATTGACCTATAATTATTTCTATAATGCTATAATCTATTTACTACTGCTCTATTAATTGACTAATATAACCTTCTTCAGTTCCTCTCCTTTTAAATATTCTCTGGCAAGTTTC